TACCTTACTAGGTGATGTCCAGATAGTAATAAGTGTGCCCCGGGTCAAAGAACTTAGTCAGGGTGTTGGTGATTTGGAAGCAAGGTTTTTTGTTTTTTTGTTTTTTTGAGATAGGATTTCTCTGTGTAGCCTGGGCTGTCCTGGAACTCACTCTGTAAACCAGCCTAGCCTTAAACTCACAAAGATCCACCTGCCTCTGATCACCCTGGAGGCATTCATCAGGATACAACTCTCTGTGCTATAGCTTGGACACACAACAGGTAATCAATAAATCTATTGGATTTGAGACTCAAAATGATTTTCTAACACAGTGAAGGAGAAACGGACATGATTTTTGGAATCAGACAAATTCTTCTGTGGAAGACCACTTCAGTCTTGTTAACTGAAAACTAGGGCTAATTATCACATGGTTAGGGAAATTAAATGATATACTAGGCAAACTAACGCAATACTACCAAACAATTAACAAATGGCTATAAGAGGTGGTAGAACAAGTTGTTAAGAATACAGCTTCTAGAACAAGGCTGGTCCCAAAACTTACATTTGTGATGCTTTTTTTTTTCCTTTTTGGTTTTTCGAGACAGGGTTTCTCTGTGGTTTTTGGAGCCTGTCCTGGATCTAGCTCTTGTAGACCAGGCTGGTCTCGAACTCACAGAGATCTGCCTGTCTCTGCCTCCCGAGTGCTGGGATTAAAGGTTTGCGCCACCACCACCCGGCTACATTTGTGATGCTTAAAAGTTACTTTGTTATTTTCTTCTTTTTGTTTTCTCTGTAGCTTTAGAGCCCACCTGCCTCTGCCTCCCAAGTGCTGGGATTAAAGTCATGTGCCACCACCTCTCAGCTTTTGTTATTTTCTTATTGAGGAAGTTGGTTCAGAGTGCTGATGTTCGTTTTTGTCAACTTGACAAAAAAACAAAAACAAAACTAGACATATCTGGGAAGAGGAAATCTCAAATGAGGAACTGTGTCCATTAGAATGGCCCATGGACAAACCTGTGGAGCATTTTCTTAATTAATGATTGATGTGGGAGGGCCCATCGTACAGTGGATGGTAACACCTCAATTCCTGCAGCATGTGGTCCTAACTTGTATTAAGACTGCAGGCTGAGCAAGCCATGAGGAGCAATTGTTGAGCAGTGTTCCTCCATGGCCTCTGCTTTATTCTGCCATAAGTTCCCTCTTTGACATCCCTCAGTGATGGACTATTACCTATACCTGTAAGCTGAAATAAACCCTTTATTTCTCAAGTTGTTTTGGTCATAGTCTTAATCACAGCAATAGGAGAACTAGGACAGAAATAGATACCAGGAGTGGCCTTGGAGCTAGCCAGAATTTATGAGACATGCTAATTATGCTGTGGATGACAGGCAGGAAAATGAAGTTGCACAAGCCCTTTGGGGCCCAGAAGATTGTGGCTGAATCACAGATGTGGAACACTGGACTACAAAATTTGATTTATACTGCTGGATGTTGGCTTTGCTTTTATTTTATAGTGTCTATTGTGGTTCTTCCCTCTCAGATTTTGATTTTACATGAGCCCAGATTTGAGAGACTATATTTTAAAGAGAACATGGACTTTTAAAGTGTTGAAAATTTAAAGATTATGGGATTTTTAAAGTTATACTTGGTTTTATATTATGATAAACATGAGATCTTGGGAATAAACAAAAGGGAATGTTATGGCTTAATAATGATATATTTGTGTATCAATCAGAAAAGAGGTCAATTATGCTGGTAGGTTTTTCATCAACTTGACAGAAGCCAGGGTCATCTGAGAACAGGGAACTTCAACTGATAAAAATCCTCCATCAGATTGGCCTGCATGTAAGTTTGCAGGGCATTTTCTTGATTAATAACTGATATGGGCAGTGCCATCCCTGGGCATGTGTCCCTGGGTTCTAGATGAAAGCAGGATGAGCAAGCCATGGAAAGCAAGCCAGTAAGCAGCATTCCTCAATGGCCTTTCCTTTAGTTCCTACCTCCAGGTTCCTACCCTGGCTTCCCTTAATAAGCCAAATAAACCCTTTCCTCTCCAAGTTCCTTTTGGAAACAGTTTCTACCACATCAACAGAAGGCAAACTGATACAGTATGTATGGAATAAGTCAATATACATAAAGCACTAAGAGTAATACTTGTTAGCTCTTATGATTATATTCCTCCATTTGCACTTAAGCACAGTAATCAATCAAGATTATTTATATCACAAGTGCTGGGGAGGTATCAGAGAAAACATTTCCAGTCACAGAAATAAGAGCATAGCTGTAACCAGTGAAAAAATAGACCATGAAATAATAGAGTAGGGGTTACCTTGTTCTCATAACTGATCAACATGCTGAGAATAAGACTATTGAAAGCTGAACCTAAATAGGACATCTATATGCCTAAGGGTATATAAATGGACATTTATAAGATGAAGGGAATAATATGGAAGAGGGGAGGAAGGAATTCATATGACCTGGAGGAAGCAGTGAATTGTTGTGGAATAGTTCCTAACAGATATGACATAGCTGTGGCACTTGAACTCTCAGCAGCTGTTTATCAAGCAGAAGACCTGCAAAGGATTGGGCTTGTCAGCATTCTGTCATGGAGAAGGGAGGGGACCACAAGGACCCATCCATCACTAAGGATTTGAATGCAGTTGACAGTTGTTGGGGAGAAAGAGATACTTTCTTAACTGGTAAGGTACTCATGTTCTAGTAAATAATCTCCCTCCCATGCTTCTGTAAGCAGTCCTGGTTAAAATCAGTGGCCAACAAAGAAAGAAAAAGACATGATAATGGAAGAGAAGATTGGAAAGAAGGAGATTAGCAGGAATGGCAAGGGAGTAATAAAGAGTTATGGGGGGGGAATAAATATGATCAAAGTATATTATATACATGTATGAGAATGTCATAAAATACAGTATCATATATAATTAGTATATGCTAATAAAAAGTAGCTCATGAAAACTATCGAAATCTTTCTCATTGAACTTCTCAGGACCACTGAAATGTTGTGCCTTTTATTTTCTGCTTATTTTGCTTTTAATTATGCATTTTTTATGTTTAAACTGTGTCCTTGAGATCAGGATCTTGCCAAATTCTTATCTCAGGTATAATGTTGGGTACCAGGAAAATGCCCACTAATAAGTTGCTGAATGAATGAGAGACAAAAGGAAAGTAACTTCCTGAACCCCATATCTTAACCACCACCACCTCCACCAATAATAACATCAAGCAACAAAACTGCCAAGATAAATCACTTTTATCTCTACAGGAAAGGGAAATCTAAAAAATATATAAATTACATTAGTAACACAACATAAGAAAAAACAAGGGGAACAAACAACAGAGAAATCTGGATGATGCTACTCTAACCTATTTATAAAAAGGCCCTGCATCAGAAATCACAATCCTACCCACTTCTAAAAATATATTTAGACATGTACAGAAGCGGTGGGTTTGTTTTTAAATTGTTTGCTTTTTTGTAAAAATATATTAAAGGTGAATAGAAATCCGCTTCTTTCTGCCCTCCTATCCTACCCCAGCTCTCTGCTGGGATTGCAGATCAGAGGTAACTATCACACCATGTTCTAAACCTTGGTTATTTCCAACTCCTCTCCACCTCACTTCACTTAGAACCTGAAACATAAAAACAAAACAAAACAACAACAACAATAACAACAACAAAAACACACTAGCTTCTTTGGAAAAGCATAACTCTGAGGGTAAACTTGCTTTTCATTGGAAACAATACAAAACAACAGGAGACTCTGAGAACCCAACTAAACTAAACAAACCCCATCAGAGGCTGGGTTTCAGCTCCACAGAACCTTCTAACAAAGAAACAGGGAAAAGAGGCCTGGAATGGGTGGGGAGAGGGTGCTAGCAATTAGCTGCCTTTGAAAGATCAAGAGGGAGTTTTAATGGGTGAAAGGGCTAGGGACCTGTTTTTGGTGACAACAGTCAGCCTTTAGTCAGGAAGTTGCCCACATAGGGTCAGAGGCTTCTCCTGCTTCCCTCTTAATTCCCCACTACTGCCTTGAAATCTCCAAGACAAGCAAAGCTGAGTAGAAAGGAGGGGAGTAGGGACCTCACTGCTAAGGGGGAGGTAGCCAGGCCTTTTGCCTTTGGTGTGACTAAAGGAGGACTGCTTGGCCCCTGGAGTCCCCAAGGTAGAAAAAGCAAATATGCTAAAGTACCCCTGATTCCATGAAGGATGAGGGGGTGGATCTACAGAAAAAAGAAAGAAGTACAAACATAAAGATAACATAGAGGCCTCACATATTCCCTGTGGTCTGTATCATAGCTGTTAAATTCCCCAGAAGCACTAGGCAAGCTGGGGTGAGGACAAGTGGAAGGTAGAGGACACTCCCACTTGGGCAGTGCCAAAAAGGGTTGTTCGGAGGGGGCAGTCTCCATCAAGTCCAGATTGCCAGTAAGGCAAGACAAACGGGAGGTGGGGGCACTGTCTGGAAAATGGTGACTATCGCAAAGGAGAAAAAAAGTGGATCAGAAGATCTGCTACTTCACAGATGGGCATCGTTTCTAAATTCAGACTTGAATAGCCTACTTGCACTATGCTGTGGTCTGCAAAAGTAAAGGTCTGCGGGTCAAGATTTGAGTCCTGAAGTCTTCTTCAGACTAAACCTCAGATGGAGAAAGAAGCATGGAGATTCCTGATAAATGACCCTGCAGGGTTAGGTTGTTTCACCATACCCTCTCCAGAAGGTTCAGGCTGTGCTTTGTGGTATAGGTGGCAGGAGCAGGCTACAGAGCCAGAGTTATCAATATGACAGGTACTTTGGATTTCTAGGAATTGGGTTTGTACCTGCTGGAACCCAGTTATAGCTATGGGGATAATGTTCTACAGGCCCTCAAAATATAGGCAAATTCCTGAAGATCATCATGGGGTTTCATGTGCAATCAGACAAAAGTAGTCTCTTCTGGTGAGCTAGGCAACAGTCACGATCAAAGGCTTGGGCATCTGTCTTCTTCCTCATCTTGAAAAGTAACAGGAATCTCCTTTTTTTCCCCAAAGACTGATAAAGTCAGCTTTTCTAGGCCAGATCTGGAGATGGCCCATAATAGGGCAATAAAGGTCCTCTCCATTTTCCTCATGAAAAGAGGCAAAAGGAGATAAAGACCACAACCTTCTTTCAGAAACAAGACTGAAGGTAGGGCATACCTACTGGATTGGGAGGAAGGGGTAGGAAAAAATGGGTGGAGGTGGGCGGGCTTAGAGACAGGGCTGGAGTTGGAGCAAATGTTGAGCATTTCATGGCAGGGAAACTGAAGGGCCCAGACTTCCTTTATGCTGCTCCTCATCATACATTCCAATTCCAATAGGAAGGGAAATTATGTGGGAGGAGCAGGAAAAGATTCTTGTCAGTTAGAAACCTCTCCCATTTACTTGCTGCTATTCATGGGTATGGAAAAGGAAGGCAGGATACTCATAGCAGAAGTGAGAAAGGAAGTTGGGGATAGTCCATGCCTTTGGTCAGTCCCAATGAAGCAGGACAATGCACCTTGTCCGGGGCTCATAGGATCCAGAAGTGCCCCGAGTTGACAACGAAGAAGGCAATGGGGGTGAAAGGGGTGAAGTAGGACACGACGGGGCTTGGCTCACAGAAGTAACTTGCCGTTTCTGTGGATTTTCAGGATGCGGCCGAGTCTCTGCTTTGCTGTGGCCAGGCCCTTTTTAGGACGCTTTCCTGTAAAGGAGGGGCAAAGTACACAGAAGCTTTATGAGCAACTTTAGCACAAACTGTTCTTGCATCATCCCCTTATTTGTTTCTCTCAACAAAGGTTCTTCATCCTTATGCCATATTGGTCAAGGAGTCCTCCTTAACTCTTTCTATTCAATGCCATATGCTTGGTTCTTTTTTGGATCGCTGCAGCAGCCATAAACACTATAGTTCTAGTTTTCTGCCCCCCCCCCCCACTGACTCTGAGTTTAAATCATTTTCTTTAGAAAATTCTGTAAGGATGTCAATGTGCTTCCATGTCATTCACATTATCCTAACCACCAGGATTAGTAACTACAGTTCAGTGTTCCTGAAGGTTCCATCCTCAGGGTCTTCTTTCATTAGAAACTCCCATTCGAGTCACTCATAAATATCATAGAAAACTTAGTATCCTGGAACTACATCCATATTCTTGGGATTGGGCTCTGGCCAATGAAAGGAAAAGAAGGGTTTGAATTCTCTCTCATGCCTCTGTCTCTCCACATCAAATCATTTCTTATATCTTATCATCTCTCTCATTACTCTGATCTGAGGTCCTATGTTTGTGTTTCTCCATTCTTTCCTGAATCTATGGATGTACAGACTACCTACTTCCAATCCAACCTCCACTATGGTCACCTCTCCATGACCTATTAAACTTAAATATAAGCACCTGAAGTTTGGCTTTCAGTGGTCCTTCCTGATTTAGAACAGGGAGTTTTAAGATTGCTCATTTTAATCCCCATTTGGGTCATGTACCTTGTCCTGCCTGATTGCTCTGGGAGCCAACTGAAGGACGCCTCTGGGTCAGGAAGACTCCAGGGGCCATGGGTGTGGTGCTTCGATTTGCCTGAGCCATGCCAAAGGCGTTGGGGCGAGCAGTGTACTCATGGTCAGCAAGACTTCCTGACAGAGCCTCTTGTTTAGGCTCAGGAGGTGGCTGGGGTGAGGAGGTGAGAGGTTGGGGCATAGTAGCCAGGGTGGGTGCAGACACTGTCACAACAACATTGGAATCTTGAGGGCGAGGCTGCTCTGCCTCCTTCATCAAAGGCTTCTTCTTGATAGATTTCTTCTTTTGGGCCTTTTGCAGCTCCTGAAATACAAGCCAAGTCAGAGGGGAGATTAAAGAGTGAAGAAAACAAAAAGAAAAATTTCTCAGAAAGTAAGGAGACAATGGTCAATAAGTTTCTGCATCCTGCCACTTCTTCCTCATTCCTTCTAAATCTATCTTGTATGGACCTGCAACAAAAGCGCTTCTAGGATCTACAGTGATTTTCTTGGCATCATCTATCCTTAACTCATCACTACCACTTAATACTACAATGGAAAGAAAATCTGTAAATGATTTTAAAGACTTGGGTTTTGGTGAGCTCTGGGTATTACTAATAACTAAATTTATACTAGCACTTTGGATACTTTGTTTACTTTATATTCTTATTTAATTCTCTTAACAGTCTTCATTTTACAAACAACAAAACAGAAGTGCAAGGACATTAAGTAAGTTAAGCCCAAACCCTCATAGAAAAGTAGTTAGCTCAAAATGAACTGAGAGTAAAGTGTTAGCTTTGGGATAAGGCAAACCTGAGTAAACCCAGACTTCTATTTTCTAAATTGGATGACTTTGATTAAAGTTACTAACCTTTCTGAATATCAGCTGCCTTGTGTGCTTTTTTTCAGAGTTGTTAGAAAGCTTACATAATGACAAAAATATTTAATACATGAAAGGAACTCAGCAAGGAATTAATTATTATTCTCTATTTCTTATAATATCTTTTTTTCCTTTTGCCGATCTTTTTCTTTGAACAGAGGACTTGACAATCTTTTAAGTCACTGAATCCAAATAACTCAATTTGGATGAAATAAATAAACATGAAGTTGTGCCACTTCTTCCATATCTTGTATTTCATCCACTTATTGCTCTATGGATCTACTATCCACTGTGTAGTAGATATCTGGATAATGGGCATGTGGAGTCCTGAGAACCTGGAAGATGAGGCTGAGAACATGTGAATGAATTTACTTTCTGACATACTACTCAGCCACACATACCAATTCTATGAATATATTTCTTAGCTTTCTCTTGGCAACAAAAGCCTAGACCTGCCTTCAGAAGATTTGCTATGCTATGGTTACCAGAGAAACTTCTAGAGCATGAGACTAATGATATTAGTCATTGTTCTCTGACATGACATTGTCAGTGTTATGTCAGGCACTGTTCCTTAATTACTCAATACTTTTAAGGATGAGAAGAATTATACTCCCATTCTAAGGATAAAGAAACTAGGGCAAAAAGGCTTGGTTATTTTCCTTTTGTTTATGTACATTTGTGTTTTGCCTGCATGTATGTGTGTGTGAGTGTGCCAATTCCTCTAGAACTACAGTTACAGATGGTTGTGAGCCACCATCTGAGTGCTGGGAATTGAACCCAGGTCCTCTGGAAAAGCAGTCAGTGCTTTTAACTACTGAACCATCTCTCCAGTCCTAAGTTATTTTTCCTAAAATTGCAGATCCAATTAAGTTTTCAAGTTGAGATTCAGAATTTGCTCTGTTCAGCCACACCCTTACCAGAAATCTCTTTTCTCACCCATATTAAGAATGAATTCTGGTGGCACATGCCTTTAATCCCAGCAGGCAGATGTCTGTGAGTTCAAGGCCAGCCTGGTCTATATAGAGTTCCAGGACAGCTGGGAATGTTACATAAAGAAACCCTATCTTGAAAAACTAAAAAGAATTCTGTTCACTTGTTCTCTGGTCTGACTCCATAAATTATGTCTTCATATCTAAATTACTTTGCTTAAATTTTCCCACTATTGCTGCTATCCTCTTTTGCATGTAAGTGGCAAGTGGACTACCTTATTATGATAGCAGCATTTTCACGTTGCCAAGTTCTTTGTTGAAAAATCTACTATCAAGGTCCCCACCAAATTAAAACTTTTTGCCTGATTGATATTCATGGTATTTCACTATGTGGCTACTTACACATAGCCAACCCATAATGATTAAAGATTGAAGGCAAACATGCCATTCTTAATTAATATCAAGTGTCATTCTAAGGAGGACAGGCAGACATACATACGCATACATACATACACAGATACATACCCTCACTTAATCCTAAACAAAGCTCATGAAACAGTTGAGACAAAAAGAAATTAACTTGTCCAAGTAGTAAAGCTAGGACAGCTGTTCCAAAATCTGTTATTTTTTTACATTTGTTTGTGTATGTTTGTGCATGCACATGCACACATGTGTGGTGCCATGACACAAGTGTTAAGGTCAGAGGACAACTTTCAGGAATACGTTCTCTTTTTGTACCCTGAGTGTCCTGGAATCAAATTTAGGTCATCATGCTTGGTGGCAAGTACCTTTACTCACAGATACATCTTTCAGGTCCCAGAATCCACTTCTTAACTATTACTTATTATACTCATCTCCCAACATGAAGTCGCCAATTCAGAAAAGTCCCCTCCCCAGTCACTCCAACACTGATTTATCATGTGTGGTTATTAAAACAAAAAACTTAAATTAAATGCATCCCTACTTTTAATATTTAAGGACGTAAAATATCCCTATGATTATAAGTACCATGAGATAATGCTATACAAAGTACAGATGAAGATCAAAGAAATAAAGTAGTGGTAAGTGATGTGAATAGGCAGAGGAAATGCTTTATGCTACCCCATAAACTTAGGCTAAGCATGAGGTAATCTGGTATGAGGGATAAATCATGAACACTGTAGTGGAGTACAGTTGACAAAGGATGTATACTTTATGGCACCCAGAAGATTAGAGAAAAGTCACTATGAAACAAAGATAACTTTATGTGATATATCAAGAAGCAATATTTCCCGGGAATGCTTCCCTGTCACCCCCCAAACAACCCGAAAAACCAAAAAAATTCAACCTCTAATACCACCCCCAACTTTAAAGCCTCGTCTTTGAAGTAATTCCATCAACCAAAATAGTAGTTACTCCTTAGAAATCACTAGGAGTAGCGTCACACTTTCATCTGTTTGTTTAACACAATAGAAAGCCTTTATTTATAAGTTACATCTTATGTGGTACTGATAAATGACAGGGGGAAATTTTAGTCAAAGAGCCATTTGTCCTGCTTGATCTCTGCTGGCTCCCAATTAACAGTCTTTAAGGCATTTTCAGAAATATTATATATCAGAATATCATATAAAACAATTCTTAAATTTCACTTATATAGGATATAATTACTTAAATATATAAGCATTTAACTATTACACTTTACTGAAAAGTCAAGTAGCATGAAATCTGAAGTTATAGGATATGAGTTTGAATCTTGTCTCCTCCATTTACTGGCTGTCTTATCCTGGACTAGTCACTTAAAGTGAGCCTCATATTCGTCACCTGTAAAATGATGAAAATATCATCTATTGAACAAGACTCTTGGGCATATTATATAGACATTGTACATAGGTACACTTAACATTAAGCAGATGCTCAATAGTGCTCTAAGCAATAGGATATGGCATGAAGAACTATGTGGATACTGCTAAAGAAGCAAAAACTTCACCTCCAAATACTCTTAGGGTTTCTGAGCATACTACACGCTAAAGCACATTGTAAACTAAATGTTATGAAGTAAAATTGATTCAGTAAAGGTGACCTTTTAGTATGAAAAATGGTGACTGTTGTTCTCTTGAGAAGCAGGGGGTGAGGATCCTGGTAATCATGTTTGATAAAGGGTATAAGAAAAAACTCTTTATAAAGGGCCAAATTTCAATAATGGTGGATGACTCAAAACTTAAGTGTACTCAACTGAGTCACTTCCTCAGGACTAAATCTAAAGGCAAATGACAGATCTAGTCTTTTCCAGCTGAGGATTTTTTTCCAATATATATTTTTAGTGGTTATTTTACACATGTATGCAATGTATTTTGATCATATTAACCCCTAACTCCCCTACCTCCAAAGCCTCTCAGATTCTCCCCAATCATGTTTCCCTCCCAACTTCATATTATTTTCATTTTTTAAATAACCTACTCAGTCAAATTAATGCTGTCCATTATACATAGGTATGGGGTCTTCTATGGGGCATAGGTAGCCTACCAGGGACCATACCTGTATAGAAAACTGACTCTCCCTCCTCCTCTATCTGCAGGGTTTTATATACTTAGAAGGGTAAGTGATACCAACAAGCATACTTTTCTGGCCCCTTTTTCATCCTTAATCATGTCAACTATGTAACCTACGAAAGTAGCTTGTCATAGAGCTGGGATGTAAAGGATATAAGAGAGTCTGGGATACTGCCAGAAATAAAGATCAAAGGTTATCCATAACAGCAGGATCGTACCAGCCTAAAGGTCAGAATTTTGAGGCTTTAAATCATCAGTAGCAAGGCCACGGGTTGGGTATCAACACTTACCTGCTGGGCAAGCTTTGCAGCTGCTGCAGCCAAACCTGTCTCAATGGAGGCAACCCGGGTCCCCTCACGAACTGGACGGTCCTGCTTGGGCAGAGTTGGAGTCACACGGGCTGCAAGGGAAAAAGGATGCTTATCTACTTGCTAATTATATTCTCTAACTTTTGACTACCCAAAAGGTGGTTGTATTGGTCTTCCTGCTTCTAGCTTTTCACAAAACCCTATTTAATGACCAAAGCATACATAAATACAAATTACCTTCCTCAAACAGGCATTTAAAGTTGTTTATGTGCTTTTATGTCCTTGTTTTTTCTGGAGTACCTACTTTCCCAACCTAGTTTCTGCACCTACTGCTATGGTTTGAATGCCTCCTTCAAACTCATGTAGAAACTTAATAATCATTTTAACAGTTTAGAAGGGAGAATCTTTAAAGAGGCAATTAGGTCATGATGTCAATGTTCTCCTCAATGGTATAAAGCTATTACTCTATGAATGGGTTAGGTATTAAAAGGGGTGAATTTCAACTCTTTCTTCCTCTACCCTCTTACCACATGGTACCTTCCACTTACGGGGCAATTTAGTATGAAGGCCTAAACCATGTCAGCATCATACCTGTAGACTTTCCAGCCTCCAGAACCATGAGAAAAATAAAGTTTTTATTTAAAATTTACCTAGTTGTGATTTGTTATAGCAGCAGAAAACAGACTAAACACCTTATTTTCTGTTACTCCAGACATATGGCTTCCTTATTACATACCCAGAGAATAACATTGCATTATCTTTCCCTCCATACTCATACTTGCCATCTGAACTGCCTAAAGAATGCCTTTTCCTTTTGCCTTTAAAAAATATACCAATCCTTCAAAAGTATGCTAGTAATATCTTATACAAAATGGTTGGGACCTCCCTGGTCCCAGTGCTCTTTTCTCTCTCTCTGAGTTTATAATCTGCACAAGTGACTTGATAACGTAATACTATTGAAGATTATTATTTTATATATATATATATATACATATATACCAACCAATGAGTTCCTAAAGATCATGTCATAACTTTTTTTATAGTACCTTAATAATACTGAATTAAAAACAACTGTTACTGTTTATCCTTTTCAATAAGCACATTCTAGGAGAAACAAATATCCTCAGGTGAAGAAAGTTTTTCTTTACAACCAAATCCCAGCTGGGACTGAGGAGATAGCTCAGTAAAGTGCACATAAGTTAAAAAACAAACAAACAGGGCTGGAGAGATGGCTCTGAGGTTAAGAGCACCAACTGCTCTCCCAGAGGTCCTGAGTTCAATTCCCAGCAACCACATGGTGGCTCACAGCCATCTATAATGAGACCTGGTGCTCTCTTCTGGCCTGCAAGCATACATGGAAGGAATGTTCTATACATAATAAATAAATAAATCTTTAAAAAAAAACAACAAACGAACAAATAGGAAAAACAAGCATTGATGATGGATACTTGTAAGCCCAGTGCTGGGGAGGCAGAATCAGGAAGATTTAATCAGCAAGCCCCAGGTACTAGTGAGAGATCCTATCTAAAAAAAAATGACCAGTCACATGGCTCTGCAGGTAAAAGCACTTGCAGCACAAGCTTGATAACTTGAGTTCAATCCCTAGAACCCACATAAAGGTGTAAGGAGAGAACCAACTCTACGAAGTTCTCCTCTTGATGGGGGAGTGTCATATATCAATCTGTTGATTTCATTGATTAAGCAATAAAGAAACTGCTAGGCCCATTTGATAGGCCCACCCTTAGGTGGGTGGAGTAAACAGAACAGAAGGCTGGGAGAAAGAAGCTGAGTCAGTGAGTCGCCATGACTCTCACACTCCAGACAGATGCAGGTTAAGATCATTCCTGGTAAGCCAGCTCGTGGGATACATACATTATTAGAAATGGGCTAGTCCAGGTGCGAGAGTTAGCCGAGAAAAGGCTAGATATAATGGGCCAAGCGGTGTTTAAAAGAATACAGTTTCCGTGTAATTATTCCGGGCATAAGCTAGCCGGGTGGCGGGACACAGCCCATCCCCGCCGCTCCTAACACAACATCCTCTGAGTTCTACATGCATTACATGTACATTCATAAAATAAAATTACAAAAGAAAAAAAACCCAAGAGTGCTCAATAGGTAAAGCACATGTCCTGCAAGTGTGAAGACCTGAGTTCATATTCTGAGAACCCACATAGGGTCAGAGGCATTAATTAGCATTTGTGATTTCAGTGCTCTTAGAGCAAGATAGGAATCAGAGATGAGAAACCCTGGAAGAGGATAGGTCAACTATTCCAGGTATGCAGCAGCAAACAACAAGAGATCGTGCCTCTCACAAGGTAGAAAGCAATGACAGACATAGTTCAGTATGAATGAGCAAGTGCCTCCCTAGCACTGGGATTACAAGTATGCATCATCAACGCTTGTTTCTTTTCTTTTTTTGTTAAATTTATGTGGGTGCTAGTTGTTGAGTTCTGGTCCTCATGCTTGCACAAACACTTTACTGAGCCATCTCCTCATTCATGCTGAAATCCTTTGCTGTTCACACTCGTGTTGTGCATGTATACCATGGCACAACTGTGCAGGTCAGAGGACAACATGTGGGAGTCAGTTCTTTCCTTCCAACATGTGAGTCCTGAAGAACAAACTCAGGTTATTATGTGTGGTGGCAAGTACCTTTACCGACTGGGTCATCTCAAATGTCACTATAACATACTTTTGAAAGGTAAGCATGTTTTGAATAGTCAGACGAAAGGAAACAACCACTAAAACATGTATATCCAAACAAACATAAACATAGAGGCAGGCAGGCAGACAGACAGACACATACACATACAAGAATGCAAGCTTACAAATGTAGGAGTGACAGAATTAAAAAAAATCCTAAATTTAGCCGGGCGGTGGTGGCGCACGCCTTTAATCCCAGCACTCGGGAGGCAGAGGCAGGCGGATCTCTGTGAGTTCGAGACCAGCCTGGTCTACAAGAGCTAGTTCCAGGACAGGCTCCAAAACCACAGAAAAACCCTGTCTCGAAAAACCAAAAAAAAAAAAAAATCCTAAATTTGCAAATCTTAATGAAACACTGGTTCTAGAAAATTGGATATTCACACAGTACCTCAGTATTACTTTAAGGGTATATGCTAGTCTTCGAATGAAAACTAGACCAGGCATTGATGGTGCATGCCTTTAATCCCAGCACTCAGGAGGCAGGCGGATTTCTGTGAGTTCAAGGCCAGCCTGGTCTACAGAGCAAGTTCCAGGACAGGCTCCAAAGCTACAGAGAAACCCTGTCTCGAAAAACCACCCCCTAACACAAAAAAAACGGATGAAAATTATAATATGGGTGTGTTGGCACATGCGTTTAATCCCAGCACTCGGGAGACAGAATCTAGTGAGTACTCTGTGAGTTCAAGGCTAGCCTGGTCTACAAAGCGAGTTCCAGGACAGCCAGGACTATTACACAGAGAAACCCTGTCTTGAAAAACAAACAAAAGAAAAAAAGAGAAAGAAAATTATATACTTCTGAAATTGAGATAGCACCAACATATGTAGGTAGTATTCAAAGTATGAACTTTTGGGATTTTTTTTTAAGAGTTTCACTGTGTAGCCCTGGAAATTGCTATGTAGATCAGGCAGGCTGTTTTCAAATTCACAAAAAGCTACCTGCCTCTCCGTGTAGATATTAAAGGCAAAATCCACCACACCTAGCTACAAGTATGAAATTTCATGTCATTAGTAACAATTACAGAGAAACAAATGCAATCATGTGGAAGCAGGCAATTTGCAGCATTATTTGAGTTAAGAAATTAAAAGCAAGCAAACTATTCAAAGTGTTTTGAGAGTTGAGTGAAAGACAAGGATAGAAAATTTAAATGATACCATAAGAAAAAAATAATATTTTATATAATTAACTCAGTTTCTCAAAAAGTGGCAATGTCACATGAAAGCAAACAGACAAATCTAGATGATTATATTGGCTATAGAACAATTATATCTGCTTCTATAATAAAACTAACAAAACCAAAAGGAACTGTTCTAGATTAAGAGTCATTTAAAAGGTATGACAGTCAAATGCTATATGGAGTTTGTTTAGAATCCATTTTAAGTAAATCCATTAAATAAACAATGTCTTGACCAAACGACATTGGCATTTTTTATGTGATTAGAATTAGATACCATCATGTAATTAATGAATAATTATTAATTTTTTCCAGGACAGGCTCCAAAACCACAGAGAAACCCTGTCTCGAAAAAACCAAAAAAAAAATCATTAATTTTACTATGTATAGCAGGACTATGATTATGTGAGAAAAGCATAGGGAGAAATGACATAATAGTTGGGGTTAGTTACTAGCATTATAAAAGATAATTTTTGAATAAACCACATTCACTTTGGTAAACAGGTTATGCAGGAGATTGAAACTAATTCTTTAAGGATGATATTTTGTCTGTTTAAAACATGATCTAAAGCAAATCCAGCAAAAAATACTAACATATAACTGTGTATCACATATATTTGGGCATCTTAAATTATCCTCTACAGTCCAGTCACTACAAGGCCCTGGGTTTGGGTCCCCCAATACCTCCTAAAACCAGGTGTGGTTGGGTCCCAGCACTCAGAGGTAGAAACAGGAAGATTAGAAGTTCAAAGTCATCTATGGCTATAAAATTAGTTCACATCTAGCCCAGGAAACACGATGCTCAAAAAAAAAATCACAGATCTTTTGAAACAAGTGTTTCTATCTCCAGGATTCTGCCAGACCCCTCCCCTCACCACACCCAACCTTTCCCCCTAGCCAGTTCGTATACATAAAAATGTATAAGCCCAGTAAGTCTGTCTGACCCTTCCTCTCTAACCAACCAGATCTAGCCTGTTTCCAACATTCTGGTCTCCAGCTTAGTCTGACCACCTCAGCCTGTGTCACTACCATTCTCTAGGCTTCTATCAAGACCTGCCCTGCCTTCCACTGACACACAGGCTCCTCCCATGCAACATCCAACCTCTCAGATGTACCTTCATACTCTAGGCTTGGACTAGGACACATCCTAAACACCAGTGCAGTCTTCTCTGTCTAACTGACTTCATTCCACTTAAGCCATTCCCAACATCTAGGTA